CATGGTGGATGAAAGATAAGAAAAAATAGGTATTGCACTCTACAGAAGATTCATTTAGTCACGTTTTTAGGCTGCTTTTTGGTAGCTAAAAATTTTAAAAATTACACTTTTTCAATTTCGTTCAAAGAACGCGCCATACTTAATCCACTTAATCCACCTGATACACTTGATACCCCTCGTCATTGGTCAATTCAGTGAACTGACCAATAGCGAAGCGATTGTCCGCTTTATCCGCTTGATCCACTTCATCAACTTCACTATTGGTAAGTTCACTAAATTGACCAATTACGAAGCGTATCAAATAGGGCGCGTGCCTAACAATAAGATACCAAAGATCCCAAATATTGTAGTAATGGTACAAAATTATTATTGTTACATCCGCAGTTGTCCTCTCCAAGAAATACAAAAATGGATTTTTTTGATTCTCCGATTTTAAATTTACGAAAAAAAATCACAGAAATTATTACGGCTACATTTGCAATTGTTCGTTTTTTGGGGATAGTAGAAGAATTATTGTTATTTTAATTCTTCGTTCTACAAAAAAACCAAAATAGACAGTATTTGCTCTCTCAGCTCTATAAAAGAAGTTGTTATCGTTGAATCTGCAGATTGATGTGTTGAATTGATTTTTCTTCTTGGTCTCAAGAAATTTTATAATTTAGCCTTTAGTTGCTAAATTAAAAAAAATGATTTATGCGATGTTACCCTAATCCAAACGCAACCGTTAGCTCAGTCCTCGTAATCTATAATAATAGGTTTGCAAAGAATTGAACTAGTACAATAATTTTTTTCATATTAAGGTAGACCTATAATGCGACTCCTTTTGTCCCTCTTGGCTATCGTAGCCATCTCATATCAAGAAGAAACTGCGAAGAAACCTGTTCATGAAGGTAAGAATTCGCTTTTCCACTAGCATTTTTGAGGTGGTAGTAAAGAGATACGAAAAAAAATTCGGCGGACTTAAAAGACAAAATTATTTGCATTTCCTGCATTCCGTTAGACTAAACAATATTCTCAAAAATCATCTTGTCTCATTTTCTCTTTTTTTTTCAAAGATAATTACTTTTTAGGAGACACCCCATTACAACAACATAATCGTGGTCAAGGTGTTGTGAAAAAACCCCATCGTGATCGACAGTTCCAAATTCAGGGAGTAGATGTTCGTGAGGACAGGGTGAGGATCAAAAGTTTAGGACTATGACTTACAATACTATGGCACGATGTTTCAGAGAAAAGTAAGAGTGCTTGCTAGCAGGATTAAGAGACA